CCCTGTAGCTGTGCCCACGGTGGTGGGTGTAAAAGCCAATGCCTTTGGCCTTCTTGGCCACCTGGGCTCATGTTCTGAGCATTTCAAACAGGTTTCCATCTTATGCTTGTTGCTCAGAAGTTATTTCCTTCTTAGCCAGGTGTTTGTCCTGGCTGGGAAGGTCAGAGCTCTCCTTTAGGGGAGAGGTGCTCACAGGACTCATCCTTGGAGTCTGATCTGCATCTTCACTGATGCTGGTCATGGAACTCCAGAATGGTTTGGTTTGGAAGGGCATTAAAGCTCATCTTGTTCCACACCCTGCCATGGGCAGGGACACCTTCCACTAGCCCAGGTTGCTCCAAGCCCCATCCAACCTGGCCTGGAACACTCCCAGGGATGGGACAGCCACAGCTGCTCTGGGTAACGTGTGTCACTGTCCATATTCCAAGTGGGATGGTGTCAGTTCACTTCTGTTCAATTCAGTGCAATAAATATTTCATGCCCAGGGGTTTTAGCTGAAATGTTATGCAGATTTGGGTGAGGAAGGAGGGTGTTGGTGCTCAGGGCAAAAGGAAGTTAGGAAGAAAATGAAGGTAGTTGATTCAAAAAGCCTTCAGAAGAAATGAACTGATACTGCCAGGAGACTCCCAACCTGCCTGCACAGCTTGGAATATTCCAGTCTGTTTCTTGACCTCTCCTTAATGGGCTTGATCATTGCTGAGCTCTGTCACATCCTGTTCCACTGTGGTCCTCAGTGTTTGCTTTGCAAAGAGGCTGTGAAATTAGTGAAGGGCTTGGTTGGAACCAGAACCTAATTTAGCTGGAATTCTGAATCCTCTCTTCCTGAGAGCTCCTTGAAGCTTGGCTTGCTACAGCCCTTTTCTCCCTGATTGTAAATAATTCATGGTGTGGATGTTGCTGTAATGTTTCCCTTTGGCTTTCCGTGCACACAGGGTGTCAACAAGTGTGAAAGAACTGGAGAACTTCAGGAATATCTTACAAAAGCTGAAGTGAATTTTGTGGGGAAACAGAGACTTATGGACAAACACCATCATTCCTGCACACTCCAACCACCACACCCTGAAAACCACTTGCTGGGCCTTTCCCAGCTGATTGTCTGTGACCTGCTGATGAGGTATTTTGTACAAGGGAAAAACCTCCTTTTTTTGTATAAAAGTGGGAAGTATATGTAAGTTTTATTTTATATATTGGAAGATCATTGGGAATAACATTGGAAATAACTTCTTGAAAAACTGCTGTACTTTTTTGATGGATCAGCCCTATCACTTTGCCTTCAGCAGCTGGAGGGGAAGCAAGAACCGTGCCATTGAATAAATCTGGGGGGAAATTCCATGTATGCTCCATGATTCCAACCAGCTCCTCACTTCCAGTGTCTCTAAACTTTGTGCTGCACAACAAATCCTGCAGGAGATTGTAGGATGGAACAGGCTGTTCCTGATGGGCCTTGCTGCACCCCCTGAAGGAATGGGAAGAGGAACCAAGAAGGATGATGCCAGAGGAATCCACCATGTGCACCTTGGCCAGCTCTGGGCCTCCATCCTGCCTAGAACCTTGGAGCAGTGGTAGCCCAGGGAGGTCTAAGGGGGCTCCTTGGAACCTGGGGTTCTGGATTTTGGGCTCCTGCAGGAAGAAGAGTGGGTACACAACCAGGATAAGGAAAACAGCTTCTTCTCCCTGCTGTGCTGTTGGGAATCAGAGGTGTAGTGCTCCCAGCTGGCACCTGGAGCATTCCCTCCTCACTTAGGGCAAGGGGAGCCCTTCCTTGGCTGTATCCAACTGTGCATGAGGCCGCAGTTTTACCAGGACCCCAGTTCCAGCCCTTCCTGCCCCTCCCAGCCTGTGCAAGCAGGTTTGGCCTTTTTTGAGATCCATTCCTGAGAGCTGGGAAGGGCTAAAATGGGACCAGCCGTTGCTGCCAACGAGGCTGCTGCTCCTCAAGGGCAGCATGGAATGAGGGGCAGGGGAATTCTGCTGCTCCAAGGACAAGCAGTGGGACAGAGCTGCTGGGGCAGGGCACAGGGGTCCCTCCTGGGGTGGGCACAGCCCATGGATCCCCCACAACTGTCAGGGGTGAGAGCCCTCAGCCCTGCTGCCAGGCAAGGATGGAGCCAACCTGGATTACACCATTCCCTGGCACAGCAGGGGCAAACGACAGGCTCAGGCATGGGCAGTGCTGCTGGAAAAGGGACCTGCTGGCTGGATCTGTGTGGCAGCCATGCTGGTCTCCACCCTGAGCCCCCAAAACATGCTGTGGGGGCTGGAGCTGCAGGCAGAGGCAGTGTGTGCTCCAGCTCAAGGCTGCACGGATAAACCTGTGCAAGGGAATACGGGAAGCTCTGAGGATGGAGCTGGGGATTTCAGCTCCTCCACAGCTCCCTGGGGCTGGGGGATCCAGGGCCTGGGGAAGGACAAAGCACAGCCCATGCCCAGATATGTCTCTCCTGAGCAGCCCTGGGAGCTGGTTTGAGCTTGTTGTACCTCATGAGCTGAAGACACAGAGAACACAGAAAGGCCTGAGCTGGAAGGGAACC